ATTTGCCTCTTTGGCATAAGGATTATTTTGAACTGATTATTTTTGAGAAAAAAGAAACATAGGAGAAGCTCTAAAAGCAGAGTAGGATTCACCCTTTTGTGAGGGAAACTCACATTTATAAGGGAAATCTCCGTTTGTGGGGTTGCCTCCCTCTGCGCACCAGGAAAAGGCTGCCTCAGAACCTCCAGAAGCCCCTTCATCAGTGGAGACGCCCCGACTGATGTCTGCATGACAAACCTCACCCTTGTTTACCTGCTTCCTGGTGACCTCGCCCCAGCACCTTTCATTTTTAGCTGAAGATGGTGTTTAAGGTGCTTAAAACTCTGGAAGTTTTGCTCAGTTTTCCTGGGTCTCTCCCATGCGCACAGGACATATACATGTTGTTAAACTTGTGTCTATTTCTCTCTTGTTAATCTGTCTTTTATTTCTGGGGGGTCTCAGCCACAGAACCTAGCAGAGTAGAGGGAAAAATACTTTCCTTCCCCTACTGCTGAGAGGATTTTTCTACCAGTCTGTTGTTTATCTTTTAATTTTGTTAATAGTGCCATTTGTCATATAGAAATTTTTAATTTTTTATCCGGCCGACTCTGTTTGTTTGTTTGAATAGCTACTGGGTGTGACATCTTGTTTAGGAAGGCCTTTCCTATCAAACATTACAAAAATATTCTCGAATATTTTCTTAAGTATCTTTTTTAACCTTAGGATCTTCAATGCATCTGGAATTTATTTTCTATATGATGCGAGGTGTTGATCTTTTTTTCCTCTCAGCCAGATAGCCAGTTTTTCCTACGTCATTTTTCTGTTTTTTTAAAGATTGGCACCTGGGCTAACAACTGTTGCCAATCTTCCTTTTTTTTTTTTTTAAGGATTGGCACCTGGGCTAACAACTGTTGCCAATCTTTTTTTTTTTTTTTCTGCTTTATTTCCCAAACCTCCCCCAACTCAGTGCATAGTTGTATATCTTAGTTGCAGTTCCTTCTAGTTGTGGGATGTGGGACGCCACCTCAACATGGCCTGACGAGCGGTGCCATGTCCGCGCCCAGGATCCGAACCCTGGGCCGCTGCAGCAGAGTGCGCGAACTTAACCACTCGGCCATGGAGCCGGCCCCTACATCATTTTTTGAAATACCACCTTTATCAAAACCTTTCTCTACACCCTGGGTCTGTTTGGAGTTCCTCTGTTCTTCCCATTGATCTCTCTGCCTATTTGTACTCTAATCCCACACATTTATTAATGCAGCTTTAAAGAATATTTGGTATTTAGTAGGGCAAATCCTCATTGCTTTTATTTTTCAAAAACTTTTTTTATTCATGTCTTCTTTTTTGACTTATTTGGAGCTTTAAATTGTTTTCTTATTTGAACTCATTTTTCTATTAATGTAAAGAATTAACTATATTCCCCACTATTTCACCCCTCCCAGTGTCAGAGAAGGGTAGACATTCTCATACTTCCATTGCATCTCCTTACTCCTTTCTCCCCCAGCTACCTCCCTTGTCTTACTGTTATCTGGAATTTTAAGTTTAAACTATTTTTATGTGCCTTTGATTTCTTAGGAATCATTTAAAACAATTTTATTAAACTTCACAGACCAATTATCAATAATCATTCAGACTTCACTATGTATTATGCTGGTTTGTTTACTCATCATTGTTTCCTATATATCATGTCACCTTCTCTCTCAGATTTTTTTTTTTTTTTGAGGAAGATTAGCTCTGAGCTAACATCCACTGCCAATCCTCCTCTTTTTGCTGAGGAAGACTGGCCCTGAGCTAACATCCATGCCCATCTTCCTCTACTTTATATGCGGGACGCCTGCCACAACATAGTTTGACAAGTGGTGCGTATGTCCACGTCTAGGATCTGAACCGGCGAACCCCGGGCCGCGAAGTGGAGCACACGAACTTAACCGCTGTGCCACCGTGCAGCCCTTCTTGGATTTATTTTTTGTTTTGCTTGTGTACATCTTCAAGTAGCCCATTGTGGGTGAAAGATTTCAGAATCTTAACATTTTAAGATAATTTGCTTTTACATTTGAATTATAACTTTTAGTACTGACTTGGTAAAGTGCTTCTTTTTTTTTTTTTAAACATTGTTCTATGGGAATTTCAAACAGGCATGAAAAAGACAAGAGTACATAATGAACCAACATGTACCATGAGCCAACAGTTAGCAACATTCTGCCATCCTTGTTTATTCACCCCTTCCCGCTTTTTGAGGGAGAAAGAAGGCTGGTATTTGAAAGATAAATTAGACTGTTTATAAAATTCTCAATTCTAATTTTTCCACAGAACTCCAAAGACATGCTTTGTTGTCATCTAGCGCCAGGATTGCAAACGAGAAGTATGATGTCAGCTCGATTTTTTGTTGGAGTGGTCGATAGGAAATATATTTGGTATGGCACAGAGCTCCTAAAACCCTTGGATATTTCTGAGTGACAGGAGTGTCTCTTGTCATTCATAAGGACCCCTTCTACACAGCTGAGTGTATGTTAATGAGGTGACACTTGGTGGATCCCTAGACAACCTAAGGATGGGGCTGGTTACCAGGGGAACCAACCTTCATTAGAAGGATGGAACTTTTAGCCCCTCCCCACAACCTCCGGGAGAGGAGAGGGGCTGGAGATTGAGTTCCATCACCAATGGCCAATGACTTAATCAATCATGCCTATGTAATGAAGCCTCCATAAAAATCCAAAAGGACGGGGTTCAGGCAACACGTGGAGGTGAGAATAGAGTGGCCAGCTGGGAGACATCCTGGAAGCTCCTCAACCCTCCCTATAACCTGCCCCATGCATCTTTTCCAGCTGGCTGTTCCTGAGTTGATCCTTTTGTCCTAAACTGGTAATCTAAGAAGTAAAATGTTTCTCTGAGTTCCCTGAGCTGCTGTAGCAAATTAATCGAACCCATGGAGTGGGCCGTGGGAAGCTCCTATCAATAGCCAGTGAGTCAGAAGGGCAGGTGACAACCTGGATTTGGGATTGGCACCTGAAGTGTGTGGTTTTGGAGGGGGGCAGTCTTGTGGGACTGAGCCCCTAGCCTGTGGGTTCTGCTGCTATCTCCAGGTAGATAGTGTCAGAAATGAGTTAATTGCTTAGTGGTGTTGAAAAACACCAGAGCTGGTAACTATTTTTTTCTTCCTGATTTCATTTTAGGTTTTAAAATCTGTATTCTTGGAGTTCAGAATCTGTATACTATGCCTAGATGTGGAATCTGTACTAAAATGTACCTAGATGTGGGGCTGATCCCACCCCTCCTGCCCACCTCTCTCCCCTCCTCCGTATTGCTCAGTACTTGGTTGGCCCTTTCTATTTGAAGACTTGGTCCATCTTCAATTCCAGGAAATTTTCATCTTTGATATTAGTCACTCTCTACCCTGGTTGGGACTGTTCTGTCTATCTGTGACTCTATTAGACAAATTTGCCAATATAAGGGTCTGTCTTCCAGAAGTGGAAAACATGCATTCTTTTTTATTCTAGATGTGTCTTGGTCCTAATCACTATATTTTTTTTCTCAAGAACATAGTGAGCTCTTTCAGCCTTCAGATTCAGTTCTTCCTTTATCTCAAGAAAACATCCTTAATGTGTTCACACATGGAAAGATTTTCTCGTGAAGAAAGCAAGCTGTAAAAAGTGTGTTTTGTGCTCCTGTGTCTACATTTTTTAATTTGATGGATGCAGATGTGTGCATAACGAAGCAGGCAAAATACGGCACTGTCGGCAGGAGTGTTGACTGTTGCTCCTGTTCATTTACTCAACGATTCAGCCTCCAGGTATAGCCCTTCAGGTGGACTTGCTGAAGAGTGCAAAGATATTTACACATGGCTGTCTATTGCATTTTTGTTTGTTATTGGAAAACTCTAGAAGCAATCTAAGTGTCCATCAATGGGGAACTGATAAAATTACAGTAAATTCGTATATCAAAATACTCTGAGCTGTTGAAAAGGAATGCAATAAACTTGAAAGTACCAATACACAAAAACACCCAAAACATAAGGCGGGAAAAACTCAAATTACAGAACGCCATGCATAGTATAAACCTATTTGTGTTTAACCCCGTCCACCGGAAATATTTATATCTTCACACACTTGTGTGTGTGTGTATTTCTGTGTATGTTTATTGCCCTATGGGGTTGAACTTTAACACTGAGGTTGTTTCAGCCATTTTTAGTTATCAAAATAGTTTTTTAAATAACTTTTAGGTTTTTATTCAAACCTCTTAATATGGAGAATTTCAAATATCCATGAAGGTGGGCAGAATAGTATGATAACCCCACATGCCCATCATCCAGCCCCAACACACACCAGCCCTTGGCCAGTCCTCCCTTATCCTCTCTCCACCTCTATATTATTTTCAAGCAAATCCAAGACATCATATTTCATCTGCAAATACTTCAGTGCGTAGCTTTAAAAGATAAGGTCTCTCTTTCAAGCCTAACCACAACAGCATTATCAACACTGTTATGCCGATTTTTAAGATTTAGTCCTCGTTCAAGAATACTTAGCTGGTCCACAGGTGGTGAGTTAGCGCAACGGATCGTTCACAGTTGGTTACAGATCAAACTCCTCGATCTACCCTGTCTCCCTTCTCTCTATGCCGTGACTCAACAAAACCAAACCAAACCCCAAATTCTTCACGCATATCCGATTCAAAGTTCTCTCTCAGCTCAGTTTGGAGTATGTTCAGGCTGTTCTCTAACTGCCTCCCCGTCCCTCTTCCCTGGGCTCCTCTGGTGTTGGTGCAAAGAGGCGGATGAGGGAAAAAAAGACATGGTCTTAAGTGGCTCTCATGGCAACGTTTCTGTTAGCCGTCGCTCGTCCTCTTTCTGCTTATGGACGGTTGAAGACCCCAACAACCCCATCTGAAACCTAAACCCTAGATATTTGCGTGGTCTTTCGAGATTAAGCTACAGCACGTTAGCTTAAGATGATTTTACAGCTGAGTGGCAGATAGGCTGGGGCCTGGGGCCAGGAAGTGTGCTGTGGATGTGAGGGCTCCTGGGCTTCTCGTTGATTCTCAGGAGGGTCTGGCACACCGGAATGCTCCATAAAACTTAGCTGTTGTTATCTTTAGTTTGAGGACGGCGCTCACGGTTGCTTTTCCTTCTCAGCTCTACTCGATACCTCCCAGTGCCCGAGAAAAGACCAGGACCCCCAATATGGCTCCTGTCCTGTCAGAAAAGCTACAGGTGGGTGTCAGTCCTCTCCATGCCTTCTAAAGCCCCATTACCGTGGATGGCATTTCCTCAGCCTCTGGCTGGTTTGTCCAATAATTTGCCATCAGAGCCCCCTGCCTTTCCTCCAGCTCCTGGTCTCTGTGAGCTGAGGCCCAGCTATTGAAAGATATTCCCCACTATGAGCCCTGTCTGTCACCTACATCCCACATGGACACAGCGACGCTGGCGCCCTCCAGCCTCTGTTCTGCTTCAGCCAGCTTCGCCCCTCATGCTGGGCCTACACAGTGGGGTCGGGAACTGGAATAATAGAATGTATCCTTTCAGGATGCATTAACACGTGAGGATGTGGCTGTACGTTTCTCCCGGGAAGAGTGGGACTGTCTGAATCCTGCCCAGAAGGAGCTCTATAGAGACGTGACGCCGGAGGATCACCGGAACTGCCTCTGGCTGGGTAAGGACCGCTGCTTCTCCCTAATTCCCTGCCCCAACTGAAGATCCTTATTTGTGATTTCTTTCCTTCCTCCTGTACTACTGGATCTGCCTGAAATCCTCTTTGGGAATGCGACAGGACATATCAATCTTAAGATAACAATAGTTTGGGGGGCCTTGATATTTCCTGACAGATGAGAGAATTCCTGTCCAACTGAACCCGGGACGGAGTTAGAGACCGTATTTCCCTTAAGACGTGGAGATTCCTAAGAGTCGCTGCCCTGTTTTTAGAGACAGGAGTTTCTTTTACCACGGCTGAGTCCTCTCTTTCCAGCTTTTTTTCTCGTTCCCTTGGGTAACTGCACTTTTTCTTTCAGGCTGGGGACTAATATCTGTGTCTCCAGTAAAACTTCTGGAGTTTTCTTTATACAAGAGAAAGAAAATTATCTAATTGTCCTTCTGAGGTAAAACAGTCTACTTGCCAAGCCTTCGTTTCTTGTCTTAAAACGTCCTTTCTTTCCACAAAGGGGTAAAGGCTGGGGCCCCTTCGCAAACTAGCACAGAGCACCTCCTTTCTCCTTCCTCATGGGCAGGGTTTCCAATCTCCAAAATTGCTCTGACCTCTAAGCTGGAAGGAGGAGAAGAACCCAGGGCCGTGTTGCCTCCCCACAGAGCCAAGTATGAAGAGTTCCCGATACCTGTCGACACGGGTGAGTGAGGGGGATCTGAAGGATGCCGCCACAGAGAAAGGAAGACCCACCTAGGAAGGAGCTGGTGGCTGCTTTGAAATCCTGGGGAGAGCTGACTGCCTAGGATGCAGGGGGTGGAGGGGGCGGTGAGCTCCCTTTCTGTCCTATTAGGGTGTCCCTACACTGATCCTTAGTGCCAGCTCCTCCTGATCCTTCCCAGGGACGCTCAGAGATGATCTTGTTGTTACTGCTAAACTTTCCTGTCGTTATTTTCTCATCTGTAAAATGGGAGTCGTGATGCCCATAACAACCCATTAGGCCTGTTGCGGGTATATCAGCTCATACCTGCCACCAAACAAGTATATCTGAGCATTTGCTAGGGGTTCAAGGGTGATGGGTGTCCTGGAATATACAGCAGCAACGCAGAACCACTTCTCTTGATGAGTTTACAGACGACTTGAGAAAATCACGAAATAGTATATAAGCAGGATAATAATAATAATCCCAAGGAGTTATTAGAAACTATAAGGTGCTTTTTTTATTGTGGTAAAATATATACAATATATAATGTGCCATTTTAACCATTTAGGTCAGTGGCATCAAATACATTCACTTTGTTGTGTAACCATCACATGAGGTGCTTTTTACATGCATCTTTTGTGTGTGTGTGTGGGTAAGATTGACCCTGAGCCAATATCTGTTGCCAATCTTCCTTTTTTTGCTTGAGGAAGACTGTTGCTGAGCTAACATCTGTGCCAATCTTCCTCTATTTTATGTGGGACACCGTCACCACGTGACTTGACAAGTGGTGCTAGGTCTGGGCCCAGGATCTGAACCTGCGAACCCCGGGCTGCCAAAGGGGAGTGTGCGAACTTAACCGCTACGCCACCCAGCTGGCCCCTTTACATGTATCTTTTTATTTAATCTTCACAACTGCCCTGCAAAGCAGGCCTTAACATTCTTATTTTACATATGAGGCAACAGAGGTCCAGACAATTGAAGTAATTTGCTGAACATTTCAAGATAATAAGTTGCCCAGCTGAGATTTGAATCCGTGGCTGTGTGTTCAAAGCTTATAGTTTTTATTAAAAAACTATAAAAGTAATAATGGAGGGACCGTGGAGGATCGGGCAGAGCTGGGAGCAGGGGATGTAACCACAAGCACTACCTTCAAACTAAAGATGACAGGCTCAATTTTATGGAGATGTCCTGTGTGCCAGGCCCTCTCTCCCCAGGAAGATTATATTTTGCCTCACAAAGTGGTTATGTGATTATTAAATGTGATCATTTGCAAAGTCCATAACATAACACACTAGTATTACATATAACAAAAATATAAAGTTATATATTAATAGTAATACTGTTATCCTCCATAAAAAGTTTACGTTGCCATCGTCATCATCAAATTCTCCTTACTATCTGTGGCATTTCTGCTTTTCTTGTCCTTTAGGCTTACAACTTTGATTTAATGGCTCCTAAATGACCTTGGACACCTATATCCAGATAATTGCCAAGTACTAATGATGCTGTCACATTTTCCAACCGGGTCGTTCTCTGCTGCTCTAGTTAGGCTGTATTGGCCCCACACCTGGATTGGGACCTACAATTTTTAGAAGGTGTCACTGTGTCCCCTAGGATCCAAGGCATATTAGCATAGTCCAAGCATAGGACTTATTAGGTAGCTGGTGTGGGGCAGAGAGAATTAAGGAGTAACGGAAATAACTACCTTTACCTTTAGCATAAGTTTTAAAATCTAAAAAAAGAAGCCACAGTTCCAGAGGGCAGTTAGTCATGTAAGGCAGGCCTGACTCCGGGAGAGGCTGATAGGAGTGTGGGTACTAGAGAAGAGCTGGTGGAGTGTGGTGCACGATCTTGGCACAAGGTTGTGGGCCAACCAGAAACATCCAGTCTAGTATCGCTTTCTGATGGTGAGGGATCAATCCAGAAGTCATAGTTTAAATGGGCGTATGTCACTGGAATTCGGGGTGATATTCCAGGCACGGCTGAACTTAGATTGTTAAAAACTTTGCTGAAATCTCCTCTTTTCTCTGTAGCCTGACTCTGTCATCTGTCCAGGGCCGTAATTAAAACTCCTATCTTATTGTTCTGTCTCTAGTCAAAACCCTGCCCTAGACCTACCTTTCTATTGATTCTCAGGCAAATTCTAAATAACTCGGTGGCCCTAACGATTACCTCTCCCGTCTTCTTGCTGCTAATCACTAGCTCTTCCTTGGTTCTCCCTGTGAGTTGATCTCTTAACTCAATGCTTGCCCCAGTTCGGTCCTTTCCAAGTTTTGACTTAATGCCGTTCTTACTACCGACTCTGACCTCCTGTATAAAATCTACTGATCCATACTAACTTGCTTTAAGACTCTTTCTTCAAGAGCGCCTTCCAGGCGCACCGTACTCCAGTCTGATCACGTTCTGACTTTGAACGTCTTTCCGCACTTTGTTTACTGAATCCCACGCACTCATCTCTCATTTCACATACGTCCGTCCATTCTCGTTTAGGACATTATGAGCTTCTCAAAAACTGACTGTTTTCTTATATGCTCTGCTATTCCCATTGCACACACGGCACTTTGGGCCCTTCCTGGAGCGATGAAACCTTTTGAGTGGATAAGCATCCTGCTCCCGCTTACAACAGACATGTAACCGACACGGTGCTGTGTACTCTGCTGAGTGGTTTGACATCGATGGCCACATTCCCTCTTCACAATTCTCCTGTGAGCTAGCTGACATCATCTCTTCCTCTAGGTTCCTTGGATAACAAGTGACAGTGTAAGAATGACGGGGGTCATCACACCATGCCATTTCTCCCAATTAATAATAACTATCCTATATACGTCCGTTATCCTGTATTAAGCCATGAGGATTATCCTCTCCTGCTCAATACTGTGTTCTTTACCCACCTAGCCCAAGCCTTAATGACACTTGCACTTTCCGTTTGCTGTCAGACCATAAAATCAAGATCAAGAGGGAGACAAGTACTTCAGACGTGATGTTTGTGCAGCAGCAGATGTGCACGAGTCGTTTGGAGAATCCATGACACTAGGAGCTGGTTAGAAAGACGGCAGAGCTTGCGCATAAGAGAGGAAAAAGGAAAATCCCCTTTCCTAAGCACAGCTTCCAGCAAGGTGAAGGCCATGCACAGGAAAATCTCCACCACAGAAAGAGTCTATAAAAACAGGAAATGTGAAAAAATTTTCAGCATTCTGGGAAAAGAAATACTCTCTGAGAATTTTAAATGTGGAACTTCATCTTCCAGAAAACATCCAAAAATGCACAGCACAAAGAAATCATATGTATGTAAAGAGTGTGGAGGGGCTGATGCGGTGGCGCAGTGGTTAAGTTCACACATTCCCCTTCAGCAGCCAGGGGTTCTCTGGTTTGGATCCCGGGTGCAGACATGGCAGCACTTGGCATGCCATGCTGTGGTAGGCGTCCCACAAATAAAGTAGAGGAAGATGGGCATGGATGTTAGCTCAGGGCCAGTCTTCCTCAGCAAAAAGAGGAGGATTGGCAGCAGATGTTATCTCAGGGCTAATCTTCCTAAAAGAAAAACCAAAGAGTATGGGAAATCATGCCGAAAGAAATCACACCTTACAAATCACATGAGAATTCACCCTGGAGAGAAGGCTTTTGTGTGTAATGAATGTGGAACAGCTTTTAATCAGAACTCAATTCTTACTCAACATGAAAAAATACATTCAGGGGAGAAGCCACTTAAATGTGGTGACTGTGGAAAATCGTTTAAGCAGTCTGCTCACCTAGTTAAGCATCAGAGAATTCCTACCACGCAGAAGCCCTATATAAAGGTTGAGTGTGGGAATGCATTCAATTATAAGTCACACGGTGGAGAGAAACCCTGTACGTGCAATGAGTGTGACAAAACCTTTCATCTTGGCACAGACTATACCAACCATCAGAGGATCCACCTGGAGAGAAAGCTTTTCAGTGCAATAAATGTGGGACTCAGGGAAGCTGCCTGTTAAAACTCTGGTCTTATTTCACACCGGCCAACCCAAGTGTGATCACAGCAAGAAGCTAAAACACAGCAGATGTGAGGAAAAACACAATACCAAGAAAGAAATGCAGTAACATGGGACATTTTTCTCTTGGGGTTCATATGTTACACTGTCTATACCGTAGTGGTATGAACACATGGTTGGTGTGAAAACTCTTTCTCAGCAAAGGGTTCTGCCAACCCTCAGATCATCAGATGGTTTACTCAGGAGATAAATCTTACGAATAAAGTAAATAAGAAGAGAACTGAACAGAGCCAAGGCATTTACCAGGTATTCACATTAATTGTGATCAATATGAGGAACGCCAAGAGGAACATTTAACTTGCCAGAAATTGAAACAACCTTTGCTCCTATGGAAAATCTTAAGACTATAATACATGTTACATTTAAGTTGAAATTTAAATTGGGTTCATCGTTTCTTTTTGCAATTTAGGGAATATATTCTGAATATAGTAAGGTTGGGGAAAACTGCAGAAACCAAATTAACGGTTTTAAGAATGGATTTTGCTAATTTAAAAATACGAGAATTCAGTTAATATTTCTTTTAAAATTTTTGGAGGAATGTCAATCAATTTTATATGATGATCTATCACATAACCTGATCCAAGAGAAGGTTTTAGCCCTTATTTTGAGTCAGTTTCAGCGGCGGTTGAGTGACCCAGAGAACACGGTTTGCTTTGTGGCCAGGCTGGCGCAGCATCGCGAAGCACATGCTGTGAAGAGGCGAAACCAGAAGGAATTAGATCTAACATTGTATTTTGTCCATCGTTTGATGTATCTGTGGTTTCATATACGTGTGTCCTGTGTCCCCATGAGACTCTTTGAAAATGTTCTTACATTCCCATCAAGGACAGAGCTCCAGGAATTGTCATCAGTGTCCCAAACCTCAATCTACTTAATAGACACTCTTAACAGGAGTTCTTATCACATGTTCTGTTTTTGACTTCAGTTCTTCAAATGGGGAGATTCTGTGTTTAGTCCTGTGGATCTTTTAAGATGAATTCTTCAAAACTTAAAAGCAGCAGTCAAAAAATTCAAAGATTTTGTCAAAAATAAAAAGTGTGAGAGTTGT